ACCATCACAGAAAAAGGAATGGTTAGATTTATGATTCCTAATAATAACCCTGACTTTGTAGCTATCCGCATATTAAGTTACATGTTTAATAACATGCATCTCATAGTGTCCTGGTCTGTAAATTAAAATCTATATGTCATATTGCTTCACCATGCACATGAGCTCTCAAAATTATATTTATAATGCTCCCATCGATGGAAACATTCCAGCAACTTTCAGTAATAAATTGCTTCATTGGAAATTCCACCAAACTATTATTTTTTTGAAGAGACTATTTTTAAGGAGAATCATCAACTATACAAGCAGCCTAAATTTATGGTCATTACTACAATTTATATAGGCTATGTTATGTTACTTAATAATAAAAAAGCACTCAAGAATAAACGTCAATACCTCTCATAACCTGAGAGAATAAATCTCTCCAATGGCTCCTCCTGTGAAACACAGAATGTACCTGTGACAATATTTATTCCTAAGGGGTCAAAGTATATTAAAAGGAATGGTGAATGTTTAAAACACCTCTCTGGAACTAAAACCATTGGCTTTCTAATTTAGAATTTCTCTCAACTAATATAAAATGATTGATTGCCTTTATTTCATGTACCCCTTGATTTTTCTTTTCATTCATCATGGCCTACTTTAAACCAAATGCATTTAGGACCCGCCACAGGAAAAGTGGTCTCTTTTAAATTGTTGTAAAGTAATGAAAGGACATAGTAAATCAATCTTATTTCTGCCTCACCAAAGCATAACCTTTACTCTGTCCAAGTAATTTAGGCAATTTCTGCATGTGTGCTTTGCCTTGCCCCATCACACACAGGACAATAACATTATATGCATTGTCATTTCCGAGACATTTTTAGGAGTAAGAGCCATATATCAAATAAGTACAGTCATACCTCGGAAGCTGAACGGAATCCGTTCTAGAAGTCCGTTCCAAAACGTTCGGAAACCAAGCCGTGGCTTCCAATTGGCTGCAGGAAGTTCCTGCAGCCAATCGGAAGCTGCATTAGATGTCTGGGTTCCAAAGAAATTTCGCAAACCGGAACTCACTCCTGCGTTTGCAGTGTTCGGGAGCCAAAACGTTCGACTTGCAAGGCGTTTGGGATCCAAGGTACGACTGCAGTTGGAAATCCTATTTTTTAAATATGCCTCATAAGCTTTCTAATTGCAGCATCTTATTTCTACAAAGCAGCCGCAAATCTAACCTATTTCCCAATTAAGTATCTTTAAGAACCCAAGAATTACCTTACTTTTCCGTGTATAAGACCAGGTTTTGTTTTTTACTTTAAAATAAGGTTAAAGATCTGGGTGCATCTTATAGTGCATGTGCCTATTTTCTAAATTTGGGGTCCCTAAAAGTAGGGGGTATCTTATACATAGGGGCGTCTTATACACGGAAAAAGATGGTGTTTTCCTGGATTAGACCATGGTCCTTTCACTTGTTGCTTTTAGCAACGTTCAACCTGAAACTCACAAAGAAGTCAGGATAGCCAAGGTCATTCCCTTTCACAGGTGCTTGCTATGGGTGTGTGACAACATGTGCCGAGAGGAGGCTGAGTGTGGAGCCCAGGGCAGCAGTTTCAATTGCCGGCAGCTCCTCCTCTCTTGTGCTCAGGAGGAGCCAGCCACTGAACTCAGCCCCTTAACAATGAGATGGCCCAGACCCCTCCCAGCAGATTTTTTTTGGGGGGAAGACACCTCAGCTCCATAGAGTTGGCATCCTTGTTCCCTATAGTTTGTTGACAGCCTCTAGTATTCAGTACTAAACTGCTTCTGAACAGCAGCTCTTGATAGACCTAACCTCCATGCATTTGTTTATTCCTATATAGTCACTGAGTTTGTGACCATTATCATATACTGGGGCAAAAAGTTGTACACAAAAGTACACCTAAACATATAATTAATTACAGAATTGGGGAGGGGGGGAGAAAATGGCAAAATACCTTTTCACTATTTTTTTTTAGCACCTCACATCTCTCCAACTGCAGTTACATTTAAATAATAATAAAAAGAAAATATTGCAAGCTCGCATTCTACACAATGAAGAATATTTGGGATTGCAGGGGGCTATTGCCCCAGTTCACATACTTACCTGATGATCCATCTGTGTGGCAGAGTGGGAACGGGGGGCCCTCCACCTATATGCACCTAATGTGATGTGACTAGTTTCCTACATAAAACCTCTAATCTGCACATTTCTCCCACCTTAAAGAGATGGTAAAAATCAGACCATTGCACATATGGGATTCCAAGTGGCATGTTCGCATCACAAGCTATTTTAGGAGCCTGGTGGAAGGTAAAACAGGGAGCCTGTTCCCGTACTGTGCAAATAGATGACTGCCTGGGTCTATGATCTATACAGTGGAACCTTGGTTCTCGAACTTAATCCGTTCCGGGAGTCCGTTTGACTCCTGAAACCATTGGAAAAACCAAGGCACAGTTTCCGATTGGCTGCAGAAGCTTTCTGCACTCAATCAGAAGCTGTGGAAGCTGTGTCGGACATTCAGCTTCTGAAAAACATTCACAAACCGGAACACTTATTTTGTTCCAATTTGTTTGGGAGCCAAGCCGTTCAGGAACCAAGGTACCACTGTAATGGGCTTTTTCAACTCTCAGGAAGTTCATACCCATTAAAGAGTAATACATTATGAAACTCTCCAGCTCTTTCTCCTATCTTTACCTTAATATATTAAGGTATATTAAGGAATATATTTCTGCATGAAGATACAGACACATTTATAGCATTTTCTTAATGTCTTGATATTGGATTGTATCTCGTTGTGTGCCTCTACCAGTGGAATTCTTTTTTATTGGGCAAAATTTCACTTGAGTGGAAAGGGGTGGGATACTATTTTTGTTAATACCGCATGCCCTCTGCAACCTCCTGCTGAACCCCAAAATCTGTTCTGGGAGCTGGGGTACTTTTGAAACAGCTGGCTCTGCAATTTGCATTTACAAAAGGGCGATATGCAAAAATCACACACATCACACACACACACACCCTTTCTGTTTATGAAAGCCAACAAAAGTAATGCTTGGTCAAAGAGCCTTCCACTGATAGAGGGACACAGTCGTATACAACCCAATCTATCAAAAATACCATTTTTAATAAATAAATAAATCAGAAAACGTATTGAGGAAACATGGAGTTTGTAGCATGAGGACTGCCAATCTGCAATGAGCTTATTTGCATATATTGTCAAGATTGATAGAGAGTACCAAGGAGTGTGGAATCGTTTTGCTCCCTTTCTTAATAGATGGAAGGGCAAAACAGTCCTAACGAGGGACTGGGAGATATTGGAGCGCTGCCAGCTTGTGCCACATAGGGTGCAAAATTGGGGAGTGTGGTTTTTCTTCTTCAGTTTTGCTGCGCCATCCAGAAGCTGGCGCAGCAAAGCGAGCCCAAATGGTCTCCAAAGAACTAACTGACTCAAGACCCAGAAGATGCATACATGGCTGGTCCTGCTAACATTCTGTTTGAGGGGGCCTTATGCTTCATTCTGCCAGCATGAACTCTGGTGCTGGTAGCAAGCAAAATCCTAATCCTCTCAAGCAGCAAAGATCAGGGCTTTGGACTGCAGCCTAACATAGCTTAAAGAAAGTCAATACTGCAGTTCCATGAGATTTCTTAAATCCAGTGTAGGAAAGAGTGTGTGGTTTTTTGTTTTGTTTAGAAAGGAAAGTATGTACCGTATTTTTCGCTCTATAAGACGCACCAGACCGCAAGACACACCTAGTTTTTGGAGGAGGAAAACAAGAAAAAAAATATTCTGAATCTCAGAAGCCAGAACAGCAAGAGGGATCGCTGAGCAGTGAAAGCAGCAATCCCTCTTGCTGTTCTGGCTTCTGGCATAGCTGCGCAGCCTGCATTTGCTCCATAAGACGCACACACATTTCCCCTTACTTTTTAGGAGGGAAAAGGTGAGTCTTATAGAGCAAAAAATACGGTACTTAAAATCAAGTGACTGCATACGGGTCGAATTATAAGCATAATATCAGAAACTTTAAATAGTTGGTTTGAAATAGCCAAACATTATTTGGTATTTTCTCTTTGCAGATGTTTTCAGTGAAGTCTCACTGGTAAAGAACAAGAAAGCCTTTGTTGTGCATCAGCTATTTTGAGTGAAGTTTCACTGAATTCTGCATAAGGTATACGTATAACGCCACTCGGGCCTCGGTGGTTAAGGTGCAATTTCCAGATGCAGCAGTCTAACTATATCACCATACAAAGAATGTATGCAAAGGCAACATTAGGCTTCAGAACTGTGTAAGTTGTAAAAACAGCCTCTTGCATCATCATGAAGCACATTTTAGTTCTGACGCTTCGGAATTTAGTTTTCTTCTATGCCTAACTAGCAGTATGGCAGTATTGCATGCCCCTACTATTAATTGATGGTGGGTTGGGTTGTTTTATTAGCCACTATTAATCTCAGCTGTCATTTTGGACGAACAATTTCTTTTCATTAAATTTACAGCATCAATGAGGTATGAAATCTAAAATGCTACTTGAAATGTAAATGATGTAAAAGAAATTGGAACAAAAAGGAGCTTGCGTCACAGTAAAATCAACAATACACTCCGAATGTATTAATCTAGGAATGATGATGTTCTGCAATTGAATTTTATTGTATTGTTATTCTTTCAGAACTATAAATGTATACGTTCAAATATCAAACAATATCAAATAGCTGGAGAATCAACTATTGTATTGCTTAATCCTACTTAATTCTGACTTCTTCTTCACTGCTTCTTCACAGAGGCATTCATATATATTCAACTTCCAGGAGTTTAGAAATAACGTAACTGAAAGATTCACCGTGGAAAAGCCTTTACAGAACCCTACGGGAGCATCTTATATCCAAATATTGAAATACAAATAGGTTTTGTTTAAGGGTACTCATCCTGTTCTAGTTTTAAGGTCAATGAAAACATGGATGCAGGGACTTATTGCAAATACTCGTCTTTTTACTGTTTATACCTATGTGAAACTTGCCCACCTGTTGTTGGTGTAGAAAAGAAGGGTCTCTTGGACTTAGTCCCACATATCGATTGGCTTGGGATGTGCCTGAGGCTGTGTAGGCTGATTAAGGAAGAACAAAACAGATTGATGAAGATAGACACCTATCCATTTCTACCCTGTATAATTTAAGCACGAGAAATTCAGAGTTACGAAGAACGAATTTGACTAAGGGATAGAGTTTTATAACACCTATGGACTTCAATGGAATCTGAATGAAGGCAGGGCCACCTTCCTTGCCAGGGACAATTTCTCTACATGATAAAAGGTTTTTGTTTTTTTACCAGTTCACTTTAAGAGATGTGAAGCCAGATGCTCATTCAATGCAGTCACATAAACAACAAAATTCAGAGACTAACAATTTGCTACAGTAGAATGAGGTTTATTCGTAGTACCACTCAGATTTAGAACATAACCGAGCTAAGGTCAGTGCTATTTTTCCTAGAAAAAGAGGGAATGTCTCCCTTGTTCTCTTAGAATGGCAATAGCTCCCACCTGAGAGGTGCCGGAACTGAGTTCCAGTGAGTTCCAGCTGATTAAAAGCCCTGGCTAAGGCTATTTTTTAAAATGAGGCATAAAAGATGCCCCCCCTTTTCTAAAGGGAGATCTAGGAATCCCTCTTCTGGAAGTTAATATAAGCAGCATCTAATTATTATACGAATACTGTATCTAAAATGTTCGCGCTTTGTACACCGGAAAACTGTGGAGCAAATGTATTTAGTGTAAGTTCTAGAAAACTGTCCTATAATGTAGAAGCTCCTAAAACATTTTTTCCCCATGTGTGTGGTTAATGGAATGATTCACCTTTCCCCTGTAGGTTACCATTTGAATTGAAAATAGTTGTGTGTTGACTGAAAGTCATTAACTTCTGATTGTGTCAAAAGAAGTGGGTTGTTTTACTCTGACTCCTAGTTTGAAAATATCTACATTACCTGAATCAATTTCATAGTAAGGTGATCTTAACTTCCTACTGCCAATGGCATAAAGAACAAATAGATAAGCACTAAAGGATCGATTTAAATGGTATTATATTTCTATTTAAAACAAACAAACAAATGGCGTCTTATCTATTTCCTTTTAAAAGAACATTTTACTGAATAACCACCATAAAAATGGATTACATGTTTACATGTAAAGTGATATTTCTATGAAGAAGGAACACGTGTTATTCCATATAATTTCAGCAAAAGTAGTTTTTACTTGTGAAATGTTGTGTAAAGCCATTTAAATCAGCTTTGGTACACACTGATCAGGATAAAGATATACAACTAGGAATAGGTAACAGCACTGTGAATTATCTTAATGTCACATTTTGGTGACACTTTTATCTTTTGGCCAATTCTAATTCATTAGAAATAAAATTGAAAGCATCTCTTTGGAAAGTATTATAGATCAGCCAATCCCAGATGCATAGAAGAAATTCTTCCATGGTGCGTATTATTCTATGTAGTTTTTAAGAAGGCTTAAATAGAAGTGGTCAAATCTTTTACATTTTTTTCCTGGTGAAATGTTAAGATTAAAGAACCATCTATTCACAGCAAGTAATACATTTTAGATATGTAACACTCCTTTAATATTTAATGTTGAAATAAATGCAATTTTCATGCACAAATGGAATCCATTTGTGCATACCTTTGCTCTTTATGCACAAAGGGAATGTTGCTAACACAATGTTTGCCATGTGTTAATCATATCCTTTCTCAAAGACCTAAAGTATGATCCTCAAAGAAATGCACCTGCGTTGTGTATGTGATGGGTTCCCTTGCGTCCTTAAACACTATTTAAGCTTTTAATATTTCGTGACTGCTTAACTAGTGCCATATTGCTTGCAAGGCACATGAGATATAATGAAACAACTAATACTCAGAGTCAAATCTGAAGCTCTAGTTTCATTCTATTCTTAAGGGTAGAATAAGAATAGGTAATTAAAAACTTCTTTACTGTTCAAGAATTGTGCACACTTAAGAAATCAGAAGAGATTACAACACTATTAATTGCTGTATTTTTCGGTGTATAAGACGCTCCCATGTATAAGACGCGCCCTATTTTGGGGGGCTCCAAATTAAGAAAACACCCCTTAGCACTACCCGTGTATAAGATGAGCCCCAATTTTAACCCTAATTTTGGGGTAAAAAAACCTAGTCTTATATACGGAAAAATACAGTAATTCATTAATTAGTAGGTAATGACTTCTGCTTCTGCTAACAGTGCAATCCGATGAAAGTCCACTCAAAAGCCCTGCTGAGTTCAATGGGATTTAATACCAGGTATATTTTATTTTTTATTGAATTTATATACCTCCCTATACCTGGGGGTCTCATGTATACAGGATTATAGACTCCATTATTTTATACTCTGCTCTGTCTTGATGTGGTCAGATGAAATGGACATTATACAAAAGGGCAGCAGTCTAGATTTATCTAAGCTAATAGAAATTTTGCTACTGTCCTAACATCGTATGTAGATGGAACCATACGTGTTTAAGTATATGTGGGATATTGACATTTAAGAAATTTTAATTTGAAACCAGTATCTAGGTAAAGAAGTCACTTGTCATTACATGATTGCAACAATACTTTTCAGTTAGTGACAGGGTATGTATGTATGTGTCTGTCTGTGTGGTGTTTTTATTACAGCTGCAATGTTGAATTTCAGACTAACGTGGAGGTTAATGTAGAACCACGATGTGTTAGAACAGTAACATGGAAACTGCCAAGATACACTTTGAGGTAGTGGTGACTTCATGTGACATCCATAATGTAAGCAAATAATGCATGGCTTGGCCTGTGTGCAAAATTCTCATGCCACTAACCACACATTCCTGGCGGACACTGGTGCCAGGAGCATTTCATTCAACGGGGACAACCTAACTGGCGACCACTTAATTGCAGCAACTGGGTGGCTACCACGGCATATAGAAGAAGTTCCCAGGACTCTCCTTGTGGCTGCTGTATTCCTGAGAAGTGGCTCTAACAGCTGATACACCCTGCATGTCTATGTCTTCAATTCCATTGAAGGCTATAGGATAATTATATGGGCTTGTATTCAACTAAATCATTACACGTGTGGAACTTCTACGCACCTCACTTTCGTGCACGCCCTCCAACATCTGCTCCAGAGGTTTGGGAGAACCCCCAGAGCAACTGGAGGGGGGGTGCATGAGGAGGGGAGGTTCCACTGCACATGTAAAAGTTGTTCCATGTGTGCAATTGTGTAGCTGGATACAACCCACGGTACTCAACATAGCGAATTAGCAAATGCAAAACTTTCAAACTCTCGTTAAATATAGTTAACCCACATAGATTTTTCAGTATCAGCTCTAATGAATTAAAATGCTTAGGTTAATTGAGGATCATGTGTCTGATTAAGTATGTTTTGGATGAAAGCTCACTTGGGAGGAATCAGATGAATCTCTTTTTTTCCTGTCTGTCTCGCTCCCTTTTTGGATTCCAGGTGTTGGCAAATTTAAAAAGCTTCCAATCTGAGTATGCTTCTCAATGTCACGAGAATGTCCATCTTTAAATTAATAATCAAGCTTTCATTCTCTCCTGGCAATTGATGCTCAGATTAATTTGATTTCCTGCCCTGAGATTGTGATTGCCGTGTCACAAATGTCATACAATAACTTGAATTATTATAACTGTACAGAGTAAATGTATTGTCAGTGTCCTTTATTATCAGACTTTGAGCATCTGCCTGGTCAAATAGGAGGAAAAGGCACCTATATTGGCCTTAACTTGAAATGGTTTTGATTGATTTATTTTTGATGGACAGCGTTTGTTTCCTAGAAAAATACTTACTGGTTGCTGTAGGTGAAGATGCCTCACCTTCAGTGGATGTAATGATGGGTTTAGTGTCTGTCATGGTCAGGGTCACAGGCCGCACCGTACTGTGATGGGGAGAGGGTGCCAAAACTGGAGTAAAATGGCCAGGCATTTTCCCTACTACTTGACCACTGTTGTTAGGCTACAAAACAAAACCAGAAGAACGCCTTGTGAAATATACATGTAATGCTCAAGAGAGCGATCTACTTTAGGGTTTTCCAGAACCCCAATGCTGTCGTGTGTCACTTTGATATCTATATCCAGCGCCGAGGGCCTTCTGGTGGTTCCCTCCCTGAGAAAAGCTAGGTTACAGGGAACCAGGCAGAGGGCCTTCTCGGTGGTGGCGCCCGCCCTGTGGAAAGCCCTCCCATCAGATGTCAAGGAAATAAACAACTATCTGACTTTTAGAAGACATCTGAAGGCAGTCCTGTTTAGGGAAGTTTTCAATGTTTGATTGTGCTTTAAATTCTGTTGGGGTATAAGTAATAGTAATTATTCTTATTCTTATTCTTATCTCTGCAAAGGAAAGAAGATTTAGGGATTTGTGATCCTCATGAAGGTAATATTTCCAAGAGCCTATTTACCTTATAAGAAACTTACTAGTAAAGGTCATTCTTCTATCTGACTGAAGTGCTACTGATGTTGTTATATTATTATTATTATTATTATTATTATTATTATTATTATTATTATTATTTAAAAAGTACAAATTGAGGACCAGAGGGTGGCAACACAAGAACAGGGCCTTCTCTATCGTGGCTCCACATTTGTGGAATGTTCTCCCCAGGGATGTTCGCTTGGTCCCTTCATTATATATTTTTGGGCGACAGGTAGAAATGTTCCTCTTTAACCAGACCTTTGGCTGCTTAATATTCTTCAGCCTTTTAAATGTCTCTGTGGGAAGGAGGGTTATTGTCCCCCCCACCATTTTGCTTTACTTATGTACTTGTTTTTATTCTGTATTTTATTCTGTGAACTGCCCTGAAATCTTATGCGGTAGAGCAGTATATGAATCTAAATAAACGAATATTTCCCCCTGTTATACTTCATGCCTGGATAATTCTAAAGAGTTTAAGGAGGCCACACATATTTATTTATTTATTTATTTACTTACTTACTTACTTACTTACTTACTTACCTAGCATGGGATGGTGGGCATCACAAAGAATTCCCTCAATATGTATCTTAGACATTCCCCCAAAATGTTTCTAACAATGTATTTGAAATTAAACAGTGCAGATTGTGAGTTTAATAATTCCTCGCACACTTTTTATTCAGATCACGGCAAGTGATCCTGAGTAAGTATCAAATATTACCTATGTTTAGATATGCAACGGCAATAGTAAAATTCTAGAGGTGCTTCCAGACTCCCACTATTTTGGGGTAGGATTCAGTCAAACGTTGGCAAATTCATTCAGATTGTGCAATTTGGGTTGATTGGGAGGCCTTGCGCAATAAATCTACTCCCCCCACCCCCAAAAAAAAAAGATTTAACTGTTTGCAATAAGGGAAGTGGCAGGAAAATGCACTCGGAACTGTGAGATAACATTTGCCTTAACACAACATAATCTAACTTGTCTGTAAACATAACAGAATGAGTGCTCATTAAAGAAACAACTTTCATCTGATTTCCCTGCAAACAAATCAGGATGAATGCTCAATACACAGGTTGTCTAGAAGTGCCAGCTAGATCAACTAAACATAAATTCATTAAGTGGAGAAGGAAACAGGCCTAAAACTAAAATTGGGTTGATAACTAGAGAGTGTTTGGAAGGTGGAAATCTGCATGCTTATTTTGCTATGTAGCAAACAGCCGAAACAATTCAGATATAAAATGAACACACTGCTTCCTCTGCCCTCCAACTTCTTTTCACTTCTCTAGTAATCAGACCAATTTCATAACTGATTGCTTCAGCTATTTGCATCAAAAGGTTACTGAAATATAATTGTAAAATGCCTAAAACCTAGATAGCTCACTGGAAAATGCACTAACTAATCAAGTGGCGTTCAGGAAGCAGAAAAGTGGCTAGATCAAGAACTGTATATAATGACTGGACATGACACAGGAACCAGATATGAGCAAACATAATCCTGATGGTATCTGAAGAAGTGTGCATGCACACGAAAGCTCATACCAAGAACTAACTTAGTTGGTCTTTAAGGTGCTACTGGAAGGAATTTTTTTTGTTTTGACTATGACAGACCAACACGGCTACCTATCTATAATCCTGATGGGAAGAAGTCGCTGCAGAAAACCTAAACCCATTTCTGCTACCAGCTGGAAGAGAAATCATTTATAAATAAACACATGCACACAGAATTTCATGCACACAGTTCAGCTGTCTTCTTTTTCTTGGACACAACAACAGACTTTTTGCAAGTCACATTTAAGCTTTCTCCACGATAGGAGTAGCCCCAGAGTTCATGCTGTTGGTTATAAACATCCAGTTTCTCTTTATTTGCTATGGGTTGCCATCTAAACATTTCCCCCCAACAAAGCACTTAGAAAACAAAAACGAATCCAAATTACTTGAAGAAGAAGAAGAAGAAGAAGAAGAAGAAGAAGAAGAAGAAGAAGAAGAAGAAGAAATGCATACTAATATTTTCCTGCTAAATTTGCTGAGACAAATACACTATACCCCAGGCCCACCATCTAGGGAGGGCTGGGGGGGCTGAGGGCCCCCCAAAATTATCAAGGAGCGGGCCAAGCCCCCTCAAAATTGCCCGGCAGACATACATGTACACTGTGGGGTGTTCTCACGTCATATGTGCATGGCACAAGCATGTCGTGGGGCATGCTGACATCACATGGCCATGGCCCTCTCAATTGCAGGGGCAAGATGTCACACTTGCCATACCCTTAAATTAGAAAATGCCTTATACTGCGTTGGACCACTGATCTATCTAGCTTAGTGCTGGAAAGCAGCAGCTGTCCAGGATTTCAGGTATAAGATATTCCTAGAAGTGACTTCTGCATGAAACACAGTTGGCTCTCCCACTGAGCTATGGCCTTCTCCTTAAGTTAATGCATTAGTTAATATAGTCATACCTTGGTTTTCGAACAGCTTAGTTCTCAAACGTTTTGGCTCCTGAATGCCGTAAACCCAGAAGTGACTGTTCCGGTTTGCGAACTATTTTTGGAAGCTGAATGTGCAACGGGGCTTCTGCGGCTTCCAACTGGCCGCAACTGGCTTCCAACTGCAGTTGGTTTCCGAATGTTTTCCGAACGGATTCCGTTTGACTTCCAAGTTACGACAATAAAACTATTTGGGTGATTTCTAAGGCTTTAATTAATTAAAGGTAAAGGTAAAGGTACCCCTGCCCGTACGGGCCAGTCTTGACAGACTCTCGGGTTGTGCGCCCATCTCACTTAAGAGGCCAGGGGCCAGCGCTGTCCGCAGACACTTTCCGGGTCACATGGCCAGCGTGACAAAGCTGCATCTGGCGAGCCAGCACAGCACACGGAAACGCCGTTTACCTTCCCACCAGTAAGCGGTCCCTATTTATCTACTTGCACCCAGGGGTGCTTTCGAACTGCTAGGTTGGCAGGCGCTGGGACCGAGCAACGGGAGCGCACCCTGCCGCGGGGATTCGAACCGCCAACCTTTCGATCGGCAAGCCCTAGGCGTTGAGGCTTTTACCCACAGCGCCACCCGCATCCCTCAAGGCTTTAATTAGCTGTTCCCAAATGTTTGGGGCAATCTAAATCTAGGTACTCATAGCGTTTTCTCGGTGAAAGTTCCAGAAAATGAAAGCATATTAGTATATTCTTACTAATATACAGTGGATGCTCGGGTTGCGAACATGATCTGTGCGGGTTGCGATTCGGTGCTTCTGCGCATGCACAAAGCGCGATTTAGGGCTTCTGTGTATGTGCAACCACCAAAACCTGGAAGTAACCCGTTCCAGTACTTCCAGGTTTCAGTGGTCCGTAACCCGAAAAACGCAACCTGAAGCGTCTGTAACCCGAGGTATGACTGTAACAGAAACACAGTGGTAAAAGGAAGTGACTTTAGTGAAAAGTATTAATGACAGTGGGGGCTGAAAAGTACAGCAAAAACAAACCAATCCATATTCACAGATGCGAAGTGCTCGTCTCAAGTTTAAAATAAATAAACAAATCACTTGTATCTTGGAAAAAGCATCAGGAACTGGTGTCCCTTGGGAATAAATTTATCCCAAAGTTGGTGAGCAGCCACCAAGCCACCTGTCTGCACATGTTTGATTTATGAACTTAGCGTCAAAACAGCAACACAAACAGGTTGTGTATTGACTGCAGAGGTTATGATGAGACACAGAAAATTGAACAGTGAGAGGTGCTACGGTATGGAGGCCCCATGCCTCGTTGCAACTGAATATTATTAGAATGAAATCTTGGGTATACGTAGTTTTTAAATTTACAGTATTTGTTACTGAATAAAACAGCAACATGGGATATTTTCAGAGCAACATTGCAAAGCTACAGCAAGCAAAACAGTGATGAAAACAGCATTACTGAAGTGTGTAAGGCAGGCACATCTTCTATTAATTGGGTTAGTCTCACCTTGTCATGATGAGTGGGCTTGCACGTTCCTATGCCCCTTGTGAGTGAAGCCGTTGGGAGTCTCGTACTCCCAGCAGGGTCACCCAAGGTGGTAAGAGGTCAAAGAGAAGGAGCTAGACAAAGAATGATCCAAGAAGTCCTCAACGGCAGAACAGGCAGAAGATAACAAGAGGTATGTTATAACAGCTGTGAAGGCGGATGAAGGCCACAGCAGATAAGAATCTACCGGTCTCTGGGTGATTTTAATGCAAGAGTTGGGCGAGATTTCAATCCGTGTTCTGGGACTATTGGGAAAGAAGGAATTGGCAACAGCAACCAGAATAGAATCTTACTTTTGACTATATGTGCAGCACACAACCTTGTTATTACCAACACACTCTTTCGAGAGCAATAAATTAAAAACATCATGGAGGCACCCTTCGGTGAACCACTGGCACCTCTTAGAATATGTAATTGTCTGACCTTAAGACTGCCGTAATGTGCTCCTTACCGAAGCTATGACGAGTGCCGAACAGATCACTGATTAATATGTTCCATAATGGCTATCAAGATTATACCTCAACGCAGGCTTCAAGGAAGGAAACCAAGGCGCAAAATGA